AGTTATCTGCAGAGGATGGCAGAGCTTTGCTCCAAAATCCTAAGGGTCTGTGCTGTGATTCACCAATAAGGGCCTGCCAAAGACTCCAAACAGCATCTCTGCCACTGACACTACAAGCACCATTGGATCAGCTGGATCATATGACCCAAGTGGCAGAGCAGCTTGCACAGCAGCCTGAACCTGTTGCAGAGCCTTGTCATTCTGGACCCCACTCAAAACTAGCAGCTTTTCGAGTCACTTGATAAACAGGCCAGAGCATCACACCCAAATGAGGAATATGTTGCCTCCAAAACCCAAAGAGACTCACTAGGCATTGTGCCTCCTTTTTAGTTGTGGGAGCAGCCAGATGTAATAGCTTATCCTTCACTTCAGAAGGAATGTCTCGACATGCCCCGCACCACTGAACCCTTAGAAATTTCACTGAGGTGGAAGGTGCCTGAGTTTTTGTGGGATGAATTTCCCACCCTCTAGTACACATATATTTTATCAATAAGTTCAGAGTCATTGACATTTCTTCCTTACTAGGTCCAATCAGCATAATGTCATCAATGTAATGGACCAGTGTGATGTCTTGTGGAAGGGAAAGGCGATCAAGGTCCCTGCGGACTAAATTATGACATAGGGCTGGAGAGTTGATGTAGTCCTAGGTAGGTAAGTGAAGGTGCATTGCTGGCCTTGCCAAGTGAAGGCAAACTTCTTCTAGTGGTCTTTTGAAACAAGTATGGAGAAAAAGGAATCAGCCAGATCAACAGCTGCATACCAGGTACCAGGAGATGTATTAATTTGCTCAAACAATGAAACTACATCTGGAACAGCAGCTGCAATCGGAGTCACCACTTGGTTTGCAATAATCTACTGTCATTCTCCAAGATCCATCTGTTTTTTGCACAGGCCAAATAGGCGAGCTGAATGCGGATGTGGTGGTAATCACCACCCCTGCATCCCTCAAGTCCTTGATGGTGGCAGTAATCTTGGCAATCCCTCCAGGAATGCGGTATTGCTTTTGGTTTACTATTTTCCTAGGTAGGGGCAGTTCTAATGGCTTCCACTTGGCTTTTCCTACCTAAATAGCCCTTACTCTATTTGTCATGAATGCAATGTCGGGGTTCTGCCAGTTGCTGAGTTTATCTATCCAATTATGCATTCTGGAACTGGGGAAATCACTACAGGATGGGTGCAGGGACCCACTGTGCCTACTGTGAGACAGGTATGAGCCAAGACTCCATTAATAACCTGACCTCCATATGCCCCCACTCTGGTGGGCCACAGTGACATTTTGGGTCTCCAGGAATTAGTGTCAGTTCAGAGCCAGTATCCGGTAATCCACAAAAATTTTAATTATTTCCTTTTCCCCAATGAACAGTCATTCTCATAAAAGGCCGTAGATCCCTTTGGGGAAAGCTGGGAGAAAGATTAACAGTAAAAATTTTTGGCAGTGTATTGGAGTCCTTCCTCAAAGGGACGCAGCCTCCCCTTCATTCAAGGGGTTGTGGGTCTTTAACTCACTCAAATCTGGGAATTGATTGAAGGACCATGACTCTCTATTCTGGCAATTCGAGTTAGACTGCTGTTCACCTGACCTAGAATTCATCCGTTTGTACAGATTAAGTAAATATTTAGTAGATTTCCTATTTCATTCCTAGGGACACCATGACTAAGTAGCCAATGCCGTAAGTCCATACAGGTCAGACTATTCTGATTACTGCTTTGACTCTGCCGTCCATTACTGTAACCATGCCCACCTTGTCTTTGTTGACTGAGTGCAGCCACTTGGCCCGTACTACCATGGGGTCCAATCAGCCCCATTGTAGCTAGGTGTCTTAATTCAGTTAGGGCAGTTCCCACTGTCAAATCTGATTTACATAAAATAGCAATCACAGCAGTCTTCAAGGATACTGGAGCTTTCTTCACAAATTTGTTCCTCACAGTTGTGGTAAAAGCTGTATCCTCTGGGCACTCCATGTGTGGGTCTGTGGGTCTAACCTGATAAATCCACTCTAGCATGCCAATTTCCCTAAGCCTTTAGATACCTTCTTCTACAGTATACCAAGGCAGGTCTGGTACTTCAGTTTGATTTAGTGTAGGCCACCTCGTAATCCATGCTTAAGCAATTCAACTAAAGAAACTATTAGATCCTTTCCTAACTTCTCAAGCTGAAACACTTAATGAACAATCTGTGCTTAGTGGACCCATATCAATAAACTCAGACTAATCCATCTTTATGTTCCTTGCATCATTATCCCACACCCTTAATAGCCATTCCCACACATACTCCCCAGGTTTCTGTTTGTACATATTAGAAAAGTCAAGTAGTTCTTTCGAAGTATAGTGTACTTCCTCCTGGGTCACACTTTGTACTTCACCTTTCGGGGCTAGTTGGGACTCTAGTTACAGGTCTAGAAGCCAGAATGCATAGTGTGGAATTGTTTTGAGAACATTCAGCATTGTCTTATAAAGCATCTGCCTCAGGCAATGCCCCAGGCAATGACTCAGGCAAGGACTCTTTAGAGGCAGCCGGACTAAGACTAGTCTCATTAGATGGGAGTGGAGGGGCTAATGGTTTTTATGGGCAGGGTGGTTTAGCAGACAAACATGAAGTAATCTCTTTAGATGGGAGTGGTTCTGCTGGCAGGAGTGATTCAACGGAATTTAGGGGCTCAGGGTCCCCAGCTTCCTGATTATCTGCTCATATGTCCCCATCACAAGTTTCAGGATTCCATTTCTTCCCAATCAATGCCCTTACTTTAACTTCAGACACCTCTTGAGGTTGGCAATTGAGATGGCATTGTAATTCAGCCACTCTTACAATAAGACTCTGGGTTCGGTTTTCGGCAATTTTAGCTCTGTTACAAGAAATAAGGCTTTCTTTCAAAGCACAAGTGGCAGCCTTGAGGTCATTTATGCGGCACTTGAGCTATGCCTCTGAAGCCCTGAGTGCATCTCTTCCATCAGTTTGTCTAGCGAAAGTAGGACCAACTAACCAGCTTGCTTATACTTCTCATACTGACAAAACTGTAAAAAGATATCACACGTGTTCACCCCGAGCCTCACCTTTCACCAATACTTGATCTACTGGTGGTGATATTTTGTGTATTTGTATCACCATCTCATGCCATGGATTAACAGTGCCCTCTTTACTGCAAGAAGCAGACTCAACATCTTGGACTAATCAGACTTGAGAACCAATTTAGAAAACTCATCCTTACAATTTTGTTTCTCTAGAACCACTCTCAGTACCAAATGTCTTAGGCTGGATTCTCTAGAGAAGCAAAATCAGTAAAGCGTGTAAATAGAGAGAGAAATTTATATCAAAGAAACAGCTCACACGATTGTAGAGGCTGGAACATCCCAAGTCCATGGATTAGGATAGAGGCTTCTCCTGATTCAAGTAGCTGCAGGGGCTAGTGAACCCAAGATCAGCAGGTCAGAAAGCAGGGCTCTCGCTCACAGGCTGTGAATAACGATGAATCCCAAGATTGCCAGGCAAGATCACAAGGCTTCTCCCGATTCACATACCTGCAGGGGCTAGCGAACTCATGACTGTCAGGTAGGTGAGCAGGGCTCCGCTCATAGGCTGGGAAGACTGATGAATCCCAAGATCGACAGATAAGCTGACAGCTGAAATCCGAAGAACCGGAGGTCAGGTGAACAGGAGGGAGCCGCAGGATCCAGAGCGAGCAAAAAGCAAGAATTTCTGCTTACATTAGGATGCAGGCCACACCCCCAAGGGAACTCTCTTTCAACTGACTGGCTACTTAGCAGATTCAATTATGGGAGTGATCACATACAAACACTGAGAAATCATGGCCCAGCCAAGCTGACACACAATCTTAACCATCACAATGAGTATTTTATTTGTAAAATGGGAATAATCTCAAGTTACAGAGGTATTTTAGAATTAAATGAGCAAAGTGCTTTATAGTATTAAGTGAAATTACTGGCCTCCCAGTCTGTCTCCAAGCTATGTTTCCAACTGTGATGGTTAACATGTGTCAAATTGGCTAGGCCATGATTCCCAGTATTGTGTAATTGTCCTTCACATTGTGGTGTTGTATAATTATGCATTATAAATCATAAACCCCTACATGTTAATGAGGCAGGATTAGTGTGGGGTCTATCTTGAGTCAAGTCACAGCCTTGCTCAAATAAGGGGTGTTTCCTTGAGGGTGTGGCCTGCACCCAATATATAATGAATGCTCTGGCAATGTTCTCTCTCTTGCTCTGGATTCTGCATCTAGCTCGTAATCTGACCTCTGGTTTTGGGACTTGAGCTAGCAGCCTGCTGTCTGACCTGCTGATTCTGGGATTCACCAGCTTATGCAGCCCTGTGGGCCAGTAGCCTATTGTCTGACCTGCCGATTTGGGGTCATCAGCCCTTGCAACCATGTGAGTCAAGAGAGTCTCCAGCCTGATGCCTGACCCATGGCTTTGGGACTTGCTGGCCTCTACAACCACATGAGCCATTCTGTGTTGAGATAATTTATACACACAAACACACTTCACTGGTTTTGCTTCTCTAGAGAACACAGCCTAAGACACCAATCTTAATGATATCAACTTCTCAATTTGAAATCTCTGCTTTAGGTAGATTAATCTTTGCTTCCAAACCACTTATACTCTTGCCTCTGCTTATATTTCATCTTAAAGTTTTCTCCCTTTTAACTTCCAAACCTGCCCATCAAACCCTTTTCTTTAATACATTTCCTGACCACCCTGGGCAACAATGATCTGTCCCTTCAATTCTACTGTCCTATAGTCTTACTTAACTAGATATGTAGATCTTATATACCCCAAACTAGGTTGTAAACTGCTTGAGAAAAGGAATCTGGTGTTGTGCTTCTAATTCCCCAGAGCACTAATAAAATGAACAGCACATAGTAGTTCTTTATACAATATTGGAGGTTTCTTTGTAGCAATCATGACTGAAGTTTTGCTCCAAATGATTACAAGGTAGTATTTCTCTCCAGTCTGCACTGTGTGAGACAGCTTCCCTGCAGTCATCACATAGGAACAGATTTCTCTCCTTTGTGCATAGTCTGATGTTGAATAAGAGCTGAGTTCTGCCTGAAAGATTCCCCATACTCTTTATATTTATAGGGACCACCCCTACTATGCATTCTCTGGTGTTTACTAAGATATGACCTCCGTCTGAAGGCTTTGCCACAGTCATCACATTGGTAGGGTTTCTCCCCAGTGTGGATTCTCTGATGCTGGATAAGTATTGAACGCCGACTAAAACCTTTATTACAATGAGTACACTGATAAGGTTTGTCTCTCGTGTGGATTTTGAGATGGTGAAAGAGGCCTGCTTTCTGGCTAAATGCTTTGCCACACTCATTACAGCGGTAGTGTTTCTCTCCTGTGTGAAGTCTCTGATGTTGATTAAGAGCTGAGCACTGGCCAAAAGCTTTGCCACACTCATTACACTTATATGGTTTCTCTCCAGTGTGTATTATTTTGTGCCGAACAAGGACAGTTCTCCCACGAAAAGTTTTTCCACATACTTCACATTTGTAGGGCCTGTCTCCAGTATGAATCTTCTGATGTTCTATGAGGTGTGCGTACTGACTGAAGGCTTTTCCACAACTGTCACATTCATAAGCCTTTTCTCCTGGACAGATTCTCTGCTGTTCAGTAAGATCTGAGTTCTCACTCCAACTTACTCCATTCTCATCACATGTGGGCTGTTTATCTTCCCAGGGGTACCCAGAAGGATTTTCTATTTTTCCTTTAGGTTCATGGGTTTCTTCATACTCAGCAGCCATCTCACTTTCAAATCTACTTGATATATCCCCATATAGTTCCATTTCTTCAGAGACTTCTTGCTTTAGAATTAAATTCCTGTACTCATTTTCAGTCTCAACATCTGAAACTACAAAGGAATTACAAATGTTACCAAGCTTCCTGCGGTAGCAAACAGCAACCTCATGAGGTAACAATGAAAATTTTCAAATGAAAAACTTAAAATAAGAACCTAGAGTTCCTGTATGACTATACAAACACCACACACCCATTGCTGTTGAGTAGATTCCGTTGCTGTCGAGTAGATTCTGACAGAGTAGAACTGCCCCACAGGGTTTCCAAAGAGCAGCTCATGGATTCGAACTGCCGACCTTTTGGTTACCAGCTGAACTCTTAACCACTACGTCACCAGGGCTCTGTATGACTATAAAGTGGCATTAAAATATAGGGTGGACCTAGTATATAAAGTACTCCAAAAATTGTTAAGGAACAGACCAACAACCCAAGAGAAAGTGGACAAAGAAACATTGGTGGTTTCCAGGAAAGGAAATACAAAAGCTCTTAACATAAGATGCTCCACATCACCATAAAAGAAAATAGTAAAAATACTGAGATATAATTTTGTACCCACTGGATTTACATAATTAATATAACATTGTGTATATGAAATGGATAGCACGCATTGCTGTTGGGAATATACATTATAAATCTCTATGGGGGTGATTTGACAATATCTATCAAAATTACAAATGCATACATTTTTTGACCTAATAATTCCACTATAGGAATTTATGCTACAGGTATACTCACATACATGGTTATTCACTGAAGTACTATTTGTAATAGGAAAACACTGAAGACAACTTAAATGTCACTGCAGGGGACTGGTTAAAGTAACTGTGTTGTACATCTGAATATTTTAATAATAAGAAGCTGTTAAAAATAAAAAAGTACTACCATCGGAGTGAAAAGAGGAGAAAAATGTCTGAATATGAAAAATGTATATAAATTTTTAAAAAATCTCTGGAAAAAACACACAAGAAACTAATAATAGTGACAACCTGTTTCAGAGTGTGGGAGGAAAGCAGATGGCTGGGGAAGGGGGTGAGATGGGAATTTTTCATCATATAACTTTTAAATTTTTGTTTTTGAACACTGAATTCACACCTATTTAAATAAATTAAATGAAAAAGAAAAATATATAGATAAAATACTGATAAGGAAGGTACCCGGTCTTCACCCATTCACCACCTTTTAACATTGTGCTATATCTACTTTATTATTCCTTCTCTTTATAAGTGTACACAATTTCTTTCCCCGCTGAACCATCTGACAGTTACTGGCAGACTTCATGGGCAAAGGCTTTTTAACAGAGGAGGAGGGATACAGTCAAAGGGGAAGACAGTGGTAATGTCTGGCAGGATGAAGGCTAGAAATAGCAGGGAGATCAGTACAATGGAAGATAACAATAAACCAAAAACCAAAAAACCCACTGTCTTTGAGTTGAAGATCTCAAGTAAAATACAACTAGAATTTGAAGAAAAAAACATAAAGAGAAAGAAGAACTTTTATATTCTTTTTGAAGAATATTTGAAGAGTGGCAAACCAGACTGAAGTCTATGCGTGGGCTATCAGATTCCTAGAGAGGCCTTTAATGATCAGAGAGAGTACTGGCTACAAAAGAGCCCAAAATGTCCTGTTAGCCCTGTCTTCCCCTTCTTCTCAAGATACATCTTTCTTCTTTACCTTGTTCCTGTTGGGCTTCAGGTTCTGGAGATTCACACTTTAGTTTAGCTTTCACAGACTGAAGGGACATGCTGGCTTCCTGTTCTGTTCGTAGCGGTGCCATCTCCTGCAAGAACATTTCCTGTTCCTCAGTGTGGACTGAGACCTGAGGAAAATGAGATATAACTGAGAGACTCCCTTGGATAACAGAAAACAAAAGGTATCCTGCTCATGGCAGTGGGGAGAAAGACCCATAGCCAGCTCTCTGAAGCTTGGAATGATCTTCCCTCCCAGCTATCAGCCTGTCATAATCCTACCCATACTTTAAGGCCTATATAAATACTGCCTCCTCTAAGAAATCTTCCCTTCCCTAGCTGGAAGCAAGTTCTCCTACTCTTAAATCCTAATGTATGCTGGTTGTGCCACATTTTTGTCTTATACTCAGAAAAGTGGAGAAAGAAGAGAAGGAAAAGGAGGTAAAAACAGGCAGAAAGAACGGAAAAATAAAATAGAACAGGAAAGGGGATAAGGAAAGGGAAATGATGGAGAGCCATGATAAAGGAGAAGGTAACAAAGGAGAAAGACAAAGAAAATGACGGTTGAAGAAGGAAGGAGAAATGAAGAAGAAAGGAGAGAAATCTGTTGTTTATTCACCCCAGAAGGTATTCTCAATGGTCTCTGTTCTTCTGAGGTCCCCATTCCACTTTTCTCTGAGAAGGTGATCTTATATCTTATTTATCTGACCTAACAACTACCCAGAGTTTCCTTCTTCATCCATCCTTCATTTTATCCATCTCTACCCTAATCTCCTTTGCTTCCCTTCTTAGAGGAAGACGTCATTTCTCTTTTTCAAGGATCACTTTACTTGTGCCTTCAATCCCACCCCTTTCAACTTCCCTCTGACCCTTGCTCCTTCAACTCTTTATTCAGCAACTTCAGTCATTCTGTGACTCCCATTCTTCCATGGCCCCATTCCCTCCTGCATTTAAAAATAATAGGTTTCCACAGAATTGTGAAAAGCGGGGATTTGGATTCACTCTAGTTACTCTGTCTCTTAGTTTAGTATCTCTGGACTAGTTACTCAATCTCTCTGACATTATATGACATCATGTATGTGAAGCACCAGGAACAGGGCCTTAGCATACAATAGGCCCTCCAAATGACTCCCACACTCCCTTCAAAGGCTAAATGTTTAAGTCAGAGGTCATTGCCATAAACTGCCCCTGTTTCCCTGAGACGGTTTTTTAATTCTGCTTCCAGACTAGGAAAACGAATCAGCAGAATCTTATCTCAGATGTACAGAAATAGATGTTTTGATACCTCAAATTAAGAGAAAAGAAAAGAAAAAAAAAAGCCAGTACAGTGAGCTGTGTCTTTTATCCCTGGTTCTCTGGCTGGGCCTCAGAAATCAAGCTGTCAACGCTATTAGCTGCCCCTGGCATGCTTCTAGAGAGACAAGTGGTTGGCAATACAAACTTAACATTTTTAAAACCAAGTTACTTTTCCCTCCACCGAAGTATCCCATTTTTCTTCTAGTTCTCCTCTTACCTCCCCGGCCACAATTCAGTTTTCATTGCTGGTTACTCCTTTGATGATCTCATCCTGTCATGGCTTTAAATACAACCCCTAATTTTATCTTTCTAGTGCAGACATCTCCACTGAATTCCAATTCATTATATCAAGCTGCTTGCTCAACTTTTCCACTGGGATTCTAATACGCATCTAAAAATTAACACATCCAAAACCCAACTCTTGATTCCTGTCCCTTCACCTACTTCTCTCCCAGTCTTTCCCATCTCAGTGAATGACAAATCCATTCTACCTGACGTTCACGCCAAAAACTTTGGCATAATCCTTAGCTGCTCACTTTCTCTCACATCCCACGTACTACATGCTATATAAAAACAAATCCTGTCAAGCTCTACCTTCAAAATATATCCAGAATCCAAACACAGCTCACCACTTTCACTGCTACTATTCTAGTCCAAGCCACCAATACTTCTTCCCTACATTACTGGTTATAGCTATATCCTCCCAAACTGCTCTCCCTGCTGCTACATTTGACCCTTATGCTTCCTTGTCCTCCCCTCCCCTATTGTAGAACTTTGTCAACTTATCTAGAGTGATTATTTTAAAACTTAAGTCAGATTAAATCTCTCGTCCTGTCCAAACTCTCCAATGACTTTCTACTTTAATCAGAATAAAATTCAAAATCTTTATAAATGCCTACAGTCCCTACATGATTTGATCCCAATACCTATTTGACTCCATCTCCTCCTTGCTGTTCTTCTACAATGACAAGCAAATCCTCACCTTAGGACCTCTCCACTTACTATTCTCTCTACCTGAATGCTCTTATCCTAGATGGCTGCATGGCTTGCTTGCTCTTTTAATTCAGAAATCTGCTCTAAATGTCACCCTACCTGCCCCAAATGTCAAACCTTTCCTGACCGTTCTATGAACAGTACAACCCTTATTGTGTTCACTAATTCTTTACCCTGTTTTATTGTTTTTTTCCACAGAATTTATCACCACTGACATATTACCTGTTTGTTATTTTATTTCCTGTCTCTCCTCAGTAGAGGAGGGGAGCAGAAACCTTTTATGCTTCGTTCACTGTTGCATCCCCAGTGCCTAGATGGATGCCTGGTGCAAAACAGATGTTCAATAAATATCTGCTGACGAATGAACTATTCCCCAATCCATCTTCCCCTGCAGACTTTTCTTCCTTTTTTTTTTTACTGTGATTTAGGTGAAACTTTACACAGCAAATTTGTTTCTCATTAAACAGTTAATACACAATGTTTTGTGACATTGGTTGCCAACCTCACAATGTGTCAACACTCTCCCCTTCTAGAGATCCTTGTTTCCATACTACGTCCAGTTAACCCGTCCCTTCCTGCCTGGCCGTTTTTTGTGAATTTGAATTTTGTTCCACATTTTTCTCCCACTCTGTCAGGAACCCTCTTTGTGATCCCTGCCACCGCAGTCGGTGCTGGTAACTGGACACCACCTAGTTGTTCTGGGGCTCAGTCTGGTGGAGGTTGTGGTAGTTGTGTTTGATTAGTCCTCTGGACTAATTTTTCACTTGTGTCTTTGGTCTTCTTCATTCTCCTTTGCTCTAGCTGGGATGGGACCAGTACATGTATCTTAGATGACTGCTCACAGGCTTTTAAGACCCCAGTCACTACTCACCACAGTAGGATGTAGAACATTTTCTGTATAGACTATGTTATGCCAATTAACCTAGAAGTCCCCTGATCTACAGTCTTTTTAGGAGTGTCTCCATTACGCTAGTCTTTCAAGCTTGAAATCTCTGATGCTTCTTAGCCCAGAAGAGATTGCGTGGTAAAGAATTCTCCATTTGTTCTTTCTTTGTTATAGATCTAACCTGTCATCATTTCTAGTTAATTATGACCTAAGACATGTCTCATCTTTTGTAGTTACTCTTATATGGCTCTATTTCAAACTCAGAAATTCTCGCCACATACTCCTTCCTTCTGTAGTCTACTTTGTATTCCAACGCTAGATTACACATCTTATGTTACTGTTTTTTATTTAATTATGTTTCTTACGCCTTACGTCAAGATTCCCTAACCTTGGTTCTATCAACACTCTGGGTTGGATAATTCTTTGTTGTATTGAATTGTCCTGTGCATTGTAGGCTGTTTTGCAGTATCCCTGGCCTCTACTCACTAGATGCCAATAGCACCCCTTACTTATGACAAACAAAAATGTCTTAGTATATTGTCAAATGTTCTCTGGGGTACAAAATCGCCACTGTTTTGAGAACCACTGTCTTTTATCCATATTAAAACAAAACAAAACAGTCCTACGTAATTTAGTCCTCTTTTATATCCTGGAGTTAGTAAAGCTTATTTACACGCAAGCAGAAAAGGTTAAGAACCTCCTTCCTACAGAATAAAATCTAAATTCTAGAAGTTGACATTCAAGGTCCAGGACTCTATTTTCAACTCTTCTACTCAGAACTCAGCTTTCCAACCTAACTAGGCCTTCTACTACTCAAAGAAGCATGGGTCCCCCACCCTGCCCCTCCCCACCAAGTTTCCACTCTGCTGCTACATCTCATCCTCCTGAAATAGTGACTTTAATTTCATCATATTTTAATCCTTTAATGGAGATGGGGCTTTGTGAAACAATGCAGTGTCTCATTCTGACCTAGAAGTCCACAATTCATCTTTTCTCAAACAGAAACCACATCTTTTTTCTCACCTGCTCTCCTGGCTCATCCAGCTCTCTCTCTAAATCCTCCAGCACAGTCACTGCCTCCTCCCCGCTCTCAGGATGCTGCTCCCGCACCCAAGCCTGGAGCTCCTCGGGCAGGATAGTCAGGAACTGCTCCAACACCAGCAACTCCAGGATCTGCTCTTTGGTGTGGGTCTCTGGCCTCAGCCACTGATGGCAAAGTTCTCGGAGTTGGCGCAAAGCCTCACGGGGTCCAGATGTTTCCTGGTAGCAGAACTGCCTAAAATACTGTCGGAAGACCTCTCTGCTATAGGAGTTGTTCTTTTGCAGGCTCTGATCCTTTCTGGTGGTATACTTATATTCCTCCTCCTCCTCCTTCTCTATCTTTACTTCCAAAACTTCTTCCTGGTCCACATGGGCCTGGACAGTCCAAGTAGCTGCCATTACAGTTGTATCAAAGCTGTACCAGTGTTTGAAGCAAGATATTCCCTGGTAAGTTTCACCTGCGTGAACTGGAGGAATAAACCATCATTAACACAAACTATTTAAATAAAAATTGCTAATTCTAAAAACTTAAATATAAGCCTTGTAAATCTGTCTCTAATATATTATACTCAGGGAAATACTATGATAGAAAAGACTTTTCAAATACCATAGGTTAACTTAAAGAGAAAAACTAAGTAAAAAGATCCAAGAGCCAAGTTATTTCAGCCCTTTAAGAAGGAAGAGTGAGACTTAGTAGGAAAGCTATTTCCATTTAGTTCTAAAATAAAGAACAATTAATTAGGATAAAATAAATATTTAGTGCAAGTAATAATAATAAAAGGCTGGTGCATCCCTGCCTGGTTGCTTTAAAAAAAAATTTTTTTTAATGCCCAGATGTTTGTCTGGGGGAAACCACGAAGCCCTAAAAGCAGCTAAGCCACATGAACTTATCTGTTCATAACTTAATCTCTATACTCCTCTCCTCACTCTTCATTGATAAAGTGAAAAGGCTGGAGACGTTGCTCTTTAAGGTCTTCTTCTGCCCTCGCGTTCTGTGGTTTGCCAGGCAGGTTCCCTAGTAAGCCGGTCAGCGTCTGTGAACTAGGAGTGTCAGAAACGTCGAGAGGCGACGAAAACAAGAAGAGAACACCGCCCAAGGCAAGCCCAGAGGAGATGGGGCGCACAACCCATACTTGCCACGGAGACCCAGGACGGACCCATCATGAATATACTCTATTCCTGAGATGGTCTCCGGGGACAGGAACGTCCTGCGGCCCCACCCGGGCAAGGGAAGACTGGAGCCCACGCCGCAACACCCTCGGCTGCGTTGAGGGGCCCGGGCCGTGGGAACGCAGCAACCCCTCGCCAGGCAACCGCAGCCCCATGCCATCCCCCTTCCTCCCGGCCACGGAACACAGGCTCGCTCACCCGCGACCCCAGGGAGCCAGGAAAGGACTATTTCCAACGGGACGAAGAGCTGATGTCTCCAACCCCTTCGGAGTCCGGAACCCTCCAAGAGCGACCCACAAAGGCCGGAAGCGATCGGCAAAGTCGAGGGCACGCTCTTTCCACCAGGTGCGGCGCACTTCCGTGGGAACTCTAGGAAGTGGGGGTTGAGGGATGCTTTCAACTCGGTAGTTTTTCTTCGCGCCTACGCAAAAGGACCGCTGGGGACTCTCAGGCCCCCGGGTAAACGGAATTGTTTTCTTTTTGTCCTCCTCTTTACCCCGCCATTTCCCCCGAGTTCCTCAACCCGATTGGTGGTCGACGCTTGCAGAGCGGATCCGAAGATAGGGAAATCCTTTACTCTTCACTCTCACTTTCATTTGGGTTTTGGCATCTGTGAAGTTTGCTCTCCACTAGTAAATGTTGGATGTTTTAACTCACCCAGTGGTGCCACGGAAGAAAGGCCTGGCGATCTGCTTTGGTAAAAGATTACAACCAAGAAAGCCTGATGAAGAAGTTCTACTCTATAACACATGGTGTTGCTATGAGTCCCAGTGAACTGAGGCAACAGGTTTGTTTGTTTCACTCTTCACTCTCACTTTTATTTGGGTTTTTGCATCACTACGGTTGCAATGCCTCAATGTGATGATCTCCTGAGGCCTTCCCTACTGAACAGCGCTTCCTGGCTGTAAAGGGCAGGGCCTCTTCCACACACTCCTCAAGGGGCAACCTGCAGGTTTGTGCCTGCTTTTCCCACCTTCAGCAATGCTCGTGAAGTTCACTTTTACGCTCAGACGATATATTCTACATTTGAAAACCAACGGAATTCAATGAGGGAAACTAAAGATAATTTAGTAAAGTAGTGGGATATAAAATTAACACACTGAAATTGACAGCCCTCATGTATGCACATAACCAGTGATAACCATTTACAAGATAAAATGGAAGGCCATTATTTCCAATAACAACAACAAAAAAAGATAAAATACTAGGAATAAACTTAAGAAATGTGTAAAACTTATATAAGTAAACATTAAAACACTCCTTAAAGATCAAGTGTAAATTTAAACAGAAAGCCATATACAGTTCTTGGATAGACTCAATAAAGATGCCAGTCTTCCTAAAATATGTTTGTAACCATAATATCCCAATACAATACCAACAAATACACTGTTCTGGAGTTAGACTGGTTATAAAGTTCATATGGGAAAGTAAGAATAGCCACAAAATCCCTGCAAAAACAATGGTAAAGGGCAGCCTTATCAATTATTAGAACATATTATAAAGCTGTTACAATTAAAAGAATATGATATCTATGCATAAGCAGACGAAAAATTGTTCAGAAATGGACCCAGGTATATATGGATATTTAGTAAATGATTACGGTGGCATCTAATATCAATGGGGAAATAAGGGCTTATAAATAAGTTTTATTGGGACAACTTATAATCATTTGGTGAAAGATAAAATTGTATTCATATTTCCCACCACACATAACAATCAGCATAAATTCCAAATGGATCCTAGACCTAAATGTAAAAAATGCACCCATACATGTTTATAAGAAAACATGAGTAATAATTTTGACACCTGGGAGTGAAGAATCCTTAGCTAACCATGCTCAAAATAAAAAAATAAAACAGATAAGTCTGACTACGTAAAAATAAAATGTGTTAGTTGTCAAAACACATCCGTAGAAAAGTCAAAAGACAAATGACACACTGAAAAAAGTTTGCAACATATCACAAAGGGCTAACATCCCTCATTTATAAGGAGCTCCTAAAAAGTGGAAAGAAAATACTAACCCAATAAAGAAAACTGGCAAAAGAAATGAACAGTTGACAGAACAGAAATGCCAGCAGCTCTCAGACATCTGCAAAAATGTTCAACTTCACTCAAAATATAAACATACAAACTAAAAACTACACTGAGATGCCATTATTAACGGGAATTATTATGTAATCTTTTTATGAACTATGGTTCCTAATCAATTTCTTTAAAAGTGATCGCCCTGGGCATGAAAGCAAATCAGAGCTAGACATGAAAGCATTAAAAAATCAAACCATGCATGGGACCCAGAGGAAACTACTGAAAAAACTGTTGTCAAATGACATTTTTGTATTGTGAATCTATGTTTCTTATCTGGAAAAATGTTAGTACCTAAATTCAATATGACATTTAACACACTGTTGTTGTTATTGTTGTTGGGTGCTAATGAGTCAATTCCAACTCATAGCAACCCCATGTGACAGAGTAGAAAAACTGCCCTTTAGGGTTTTTTAGGCTGTAATCTGTACAGGAACAGATTGCCAGGTCTTTATTCCACAGAGCAGCTGGTGGGTTCGAACCCCCTACCTTTTGGTTAGCGGTAAAGTACTTAACCGGTTGCACCAGGGCTCCTTACTTAACACATAGTCAACTTTTTAATTCTCATGTTAGGAAAGAAAAGACTAATTTTAAACTCTACATCATCATTAGTGATTACAAAAGAAGTATTTCATTTAGATTTGAAACCAGAAGCCAAAAACAGTTTTGTGATGTGAATTTTGTGAGCTTCTAGAAAGTGTATGGCAAAAAACACAGGTACCATATGTCAATAAAGGAAGGACTTTCAGAGTTCACATGGAAGCAATGAAATGTTTTGCTTCCTATTCACAGTTCTAATGGGAGAGTCTACAACCAGCTGTTTTAAAGAATCAATTTGTATCTAATTTATGAAAGTTGATACAGTTCTTTGCTCAGGTCAAGAAGCTCATCTATCTTTAAGGTATGCAGCATGGATTGAGGAAAAGGCTGAAGAATATTTAGACATGTCCATGTTTTAAACATAAACTGAGCCATACAACTAGGCATATGCTACGATTTTGCTAGCGTATGTACTGAAAAAACCCTTGTTTAAAAAATGATAAAGAATTTAACCCCCACCCCCTCCGCCCCTCAAGTGAGAAAAGCAGGAACTGAGAATAGTAGTGCAGTGGTTAAGACCTATGGCTGCTAACCAAAAGGTCAGCAGTTCAAAGCCACCAGCCACCTTGGAAACCCTGTGGGGCAGTTCTACTCTGTCGTGTTGGGTTGCTTTGAGTCGGACTCAACTCGATGGCAGTAATTTGTACATGACTTAAATTCCAATCTAATATAGCAAGAATTCAATGGACAATGTCCAAATTAAGTAAACCTAAAAATAGTAATAGTGGCATTTTGTTTAATGGTATGGAGGTGACCACTAGGAGAACCAGGGATAGAAAAGGTGCCCCTCAGATGTATCACAGAGTGTATTAAGTGGTATAGCAGAATTTGTTTGTTGCTTTTAATCATAAAACCTGGCATGCTACTAAAATTAGTAATTTCTTTTATAAGGATTAGCACAACGCTAATGTCCCATAACACTAGAGATGTCCCAAATGTACAACTTTTCCAAACTGCTGTACCTCTCCATCATCACTAACATCCACTATTCCCCCTCCCCTCAGTAATCTCTCTCCTGTGTTTGGTTTTGGTAATTTGCTGCAATGTCTCACAGAACTAATGAGTTAACTGGGTTTATTAGGGAAGTAACGGCACAATTTGGGATTGGGATTGACTTGGAAATAACAGGACAACTCAGGACGCAGTTCCTTGATCAGGACAGCTTCTTCTTGCCCTCTGTGGCTGGGACCTTGCTGCCACTGGGCCCTGCTGGGGGCCTACTCAGGCACGTGTTATACCTCTTAGCTCCGTGGATCGGCAAGCCCCACTGCACCAGTCTCACGCAGATCTCCTGATTCCTGTTGTCTTGTGCCACTGTCTCTGGCTGTCTTTCGTGTTACAGTTCCTCTTTCTCTGTCTCCCTTTAATCCCTCATTAGGGTTCCCGATATCATATTTGCATGGTTCCACCCCTACAAGGGTGCTGTGTATATTCTTTACATTATTAGCAAGCTATCCAATCCCCTTGGTGGTCCACAAGCACCTCACTTGCATAGTCCCACCCAGACATTTGGTGGGAGTTACAAAGACTATGGCTAGAAGGGCCGTATCAAGTAATTCACTGCACCGGAGGCCACACCCTGGCTCTTCTATCCATGGCCCCTTTCATACTTGAAGGATTAACTTCCCCCTCCCAATCATTTTACCAGTCCAAACAGTCATTAACAATTAGTCCTGCAGTAGGGCAGAGTCCTAAGGGTGAGGTTACTCAGGTACCAGCCATTCAGGTCTGCTGCAGGTGTCCATCTTATCTGATGAGGTTCTCCAAAAGTCATCTCCGCTTCACTCTTTCTGGCCTCTGATAAAATTTAACTAAAAGAAGATTATTCCCTTGCTCTGAGCCTCACAAGGTATCAGCATAGCAAAACCTTTAAGGGACTTTAAGTTTGGCCACTGTACTCCAGTCCAGCAGTGCCTCCCCCTTAGTCCACTCTTTCACACACAGCTTCTACAGTTAGTTTTTACTATCACTATTAACCCTGTTAACACTCAGCACTCACAGCTGAATCATATAATACAATCAACATCTTCCTCCATTCTCTCTTCCTAGTCCCACCAGGAAAAGAGGAAACTATTCAGTGGGGACCCTCCCTTGTCCCCTGAATTTAATGTACACACGCTCACAAAACCGTGTAAGTCAGCCACTTCACACCTTTATGAGACCGACAGCACGGCCACGCCATCTTTAATAGGCAAAGGGTTGTGCTCGCCATCTTCTGTGATATAGGAACTAACTCCCCGTCTTTAAGCTATCTCCTTACTAGGTATGTTTCCTGTTTCTGGGTCAGTTGAGAAAAACGAGAGACTGGGGTTGCAGGGCCAGCTAAAACTGGCAAAAACCAGATCTGGCCCCCCTGACATGCGCAGTACTACCAATCGTGTCCTTCGGACCACTTACTGACGTCAGAGACTGAAAAACACACCCCTGTCTACACCCCAGCCCTAAGCAAAACCCCATCTTTGTGGCCCCCTCTTCCAAACTGTGCAAGCGTAGAAGACTGGACAGCCCTGTGAATGCCTTTTCGGGGCCAAGCCAATCAGCAAGCTGATCTCACCTTAAGGTGTTTCTGAAGACCCCACACCCAATTTACTTTACCCATATAAACCCCCAGAGCCATTCAT